TTGAGCCATAGCTCCACATCTGGCTGGCTTTTTGCTGGTTAACTGGAGATGAGAGTCTCAAAGATTTGTCTGCCTAGGCTGGCTTCTCAATCCTCAGATCTCAGCCTCCTGACTAGCAAGGATTACACACCTGAGCCACCAGAGCCAGGTCCTGGCTTTAAATTTTGAGTCTGGGGGCTGGGAATGTAGCTTAGTAATACAGTGCTTGCCTAGCATGCATGAAACCCTGGGTTTGATTCCTCTGTACCACATAAACAGAAAAGACTGGATATGGCGCTGTGGCTCAACTAGTAGAGTGCTGGCCTTGAGCACAGAGAGGGACAGGCCCACTCAGGCTCTGAGTTCAAGCCCCAGGACCAGAAAAAAAAAAAAAAAATGTTTTGAGTCTGGCCCATTTGATGTTTGCTTCAAGCAATATAATTTCCCTGTATCCTCATCTCCCCATCCTGCCTCATTAGAGCTTCTGATGTCTCTGCCAGGAGAAAAAGGGGTGGCTAGGGCTGGAGACCTAGTGGTAAGGATTTACTAGAGCTTGAGGAGGCTGGGGTTATAATAATAGCAACGTGGGGGAGAAGCCAACATTCTAGATGAATCATCCAGGGAGATATCAAAAGAAAGAGTAACCAATCCTAAAAGTTTCTACAAAGTGCTGTCCTTCCCCAGCAACTAAGCAACACCACTGAGCAACACCAACCTTCAGCTCTACACATCTGCCTTTGGAGATCATGTGCCTTTGGAGTCAGGGACCAAAGAGTTGTAAAGCCATATACATTGGGTTGGTATTGTCTGTTTGTGCCAGGACTGGGATTTGAACTCAGAACCTACCTCCTTCTTTTGGCTTTTTCTACTCAAGGCTAACATTCTACCACTTGAGTCACACCTCCACTTTAGCTTTTTGCTGGTTAATAGGAGATACAAATCTCTAGAATTTGACTGGTCGGGCATTGAACTGTGATTGATCTTCCTATCTCAGTCTCGTGGCTAGGATTACAACACTCTGCTTTTAGTTGGGTTTAAGGGCTTGATTTGAAAAAGCAAAAACAAAGACTATTGGTATGTCCCAAAGCATTTGCATACCTCATTTAGCACACCAAGTTACTTTGATTCAGAAATGTATGTTTAGTGCAGGTTTATTCTAGGACAGTAACTGGACAGTAACAAAAAGTCCTGACCTTCCTGTGTCTTAGGATGTGGGTGGTTAATAAAAAAAAATTTTTTTTTTTTTGAGTCAGGTTGTGGGGCCTGAACTCTGGGCCCCACTTCCGACTTTTTTCTTTTTGCTTATGTGGTGCTGAGGAATTGAACCCAGGGCCTCATGCATGCAAGGGAAGCGCTCTACCACTGAGCCACCTTCCCAGCCCCTAATAAAAAATTTTTTAAGCCATGAACAAAAATAAACTCAAACATGCCGGGCGCTGGTGGCTCACGCCTGTAATCCTAGCTACTCAGGAGGCTAAGATCTGAGGATAATGGTTCAAAACCAGCCCGGGCAGGAAAGACCATGAGACTCCTATCTCCAATAAACCACCAGAAAACTGGAAGTGGCGCTGTAGCTCAAATGGTAGAGCGCTCGCCTTGATCTGAAGAGCTGAGGGACAGCACTCAGGCCCAGAGTTCAAGCCCCACGACCAACAAAAAAAAAAAAAAAATTAAATAAATAAATAAATAAACTCAAGCCGGGCGCCGTTGGCTCACACCTGTAATCCTTTCTACTCAGGAGGCTGAGATCTGAGGATCACGGTTCAAAGTCAGCCTGGGCAGGAAAGTCTGTGAGACTCTTACCTCCAATAAACCACTAGAAAACTGGAAGTGGTGCTGTGGCTTACGTGGTAGAGCGCTCACCTTGAGCTGAGGAGTGCAGGGACAGTGCCGAGGTGCAGAGTTCAATTCCCAGGACCAACAAAAATAAATAAAATAGTTGGAGGGACCGTACTGGAGGCAATTGAATACTATTTTATTTTAGTCCAGGAAAACAGCAAAGAAATAGTATCAAAAATCATAGAAGAGCAAACCAGACAGGGAACAGCAAGTACTAGACCTTGAGGCAGGGGGTCAGGAGAGCCAGAATAGATGGAGAAGGACAGTGGGGGAAGAGCAAGTCAGTGGAAGGCAGGAGGCAGATCACATCACAGAAGGTCTTGGAGACCTTGTGGGGAAACCTTGGAGTTTGCAGATAGGAAGTTACAGGCACTGTGCCCACCCCACCTGCACTCCAGCTCTGTACTGGGCTTCAAACCCACGGCCTCTTGCAGCAAGTACTCTGCCACTGAACCAAACCCCAGTCCAAGGTTTTATTTGGTGTGTTTGGGGTTTCTTTTGTGAGGTTACTGGGATTTGAACTCAGGGCCTCATACTCTCAAGTTCTTTCATTTGAGGCTGGCACTGTACCACTTGAACCACACTTCACTTGTGACTTTTTTGCTGATTAACTGGAGATATAAGGGTCCCTTAGAAGCTGGGCATTAATGGCCATGCCTGTAATCCTAGTTACTCAGGAAGCTGAGATCTGAAGATCATAGTTTGAAAGTCAGGCCAGGCAGAAAAGTCCATGAGACTCTTTTCTTCAAAAACTACCCAAACAAAACAAAACAATTATGCCTGTAATCCTAGCTACTCAGGAGGTTGAGATCTGAGGATCGCTGTTAAAAACCAGCCCAGGCAGGAAAGTCTATGAGACTCTTATCTCCAAGAAAACCACCAGAAAACCAGAAGTGGCGCTCTGGCTCAAATGGTAGAGCGCTAGCCTTGAGCTGAAGAGCTGAGGAACAAGCACCTAGGCTCAGAGTTCAAGCCCCAGGACCGACAAAATCAAAAAACAAAAAACTAGTGGAGCTGTGGCTCAAGTGGTAGAGCTCTAAACTCGAGCAAAAGAAGCTCAGGGACAGTGCCCAGTTCAAGCCTGAGGACCTGCACACATTCTTTCTCTCTCTCTCTCTCTCTCTCTCTCTCTGTCTCTCTTGCTTAGATGTTTTTGTGTGTGTGTGTTTTGTTTGTTTGTTTTTTGTCGGTCGTGGGGCTTGAACTCTGGGCTTGGGCACTGTCCCTGCGCTCTTCAGCTCAAGGCTCTACCGCTTGAGCCACAGTGCCACTTCCAGTTTTCTAGTGATTTATTGGAGATAAGAGTCTCATGGAGTTTCCTGCCTGGGCTGGCTTTGAGCCAAATCCTCAGATCTCAGCCTCCTGAGTAGCTAGGATTACAGGCATGAGCTACCGGCGCCCGGCTAGATGTGTTTGTTTGGGTGAGCTTTAAACTGTGATGCTCAGATCTCAGCCTCCTAAGTAGCTATGATTACAGATATTATGCACAGCACCTGACTCCAAAATGTTTTCTGAACAAGGACACCATCAGAATCTGAATCTTTTTCCTTTCCTTTTCTCCTTTTTATTTCTTGCTTTTGCTTCTGCTTTTCCTCCTCCTCCTCCTCCTCCTCCTTCTCTTCTTCTTTCCTCCCTCCTCCCTCCCTCCTCCTCCTCCTTCTTTCTTGCTGTCAGGATCTTGCTCTGTTGCCCAGACAGGTCTTGAACTAAAGATCCTTCTGACGGGGCTGGGAAGGTGGCTCAGTGGTAGAGCGCTTGCCTTGCATGCCCCCGAGGCCCTGGGTTCAAATCCTCAGCACCACATAAGCAAAAAGAAAAAAGCCGGAAATGGCGCTGTGGCTCAAGTGGTAGAGTGCTAGCCTTGAGCTGAAGAGCTGAGGGACAGCGCCCAGGCCCAGAGTTCAGGCCCCACGACCGGACACCCCCCCCCCAAAAAAAAAAAAAAGATCCTTCTGAATATCTAGGGTTACAGGTGTGAGCCACCAGCACCTAACCTTGGATTCTTTTAGCCTTGTTTCTTCTCTACACATCTAGTGGCCATGTTCTCTACACTTCTAGTGGCCGTGTTCCATGTAAGCTATACAGGGGAATGAGCCGTAGTAATTCTAACCTGGCTGGTGAAGACTTTCAGCCTTTATTGGGAGTGAGCCAGCCATATTGTAAGGCCATACTCAATGTACAGATAAGAACTGACACAGGGCTGGGCGCTGGTGGCTTACACCTGTAATCCTAGCTACTCAGGAGGCTGAGCTCAGAGGATCTCAGTTTGTTGCTAACCACAACCAGAGAGTAATGGGATAGAAGAAGAAGAAATGAGGAAGAAGACAGAGGATAGAAAAGTGGGGTGTCAAGGGGTCCAGCTGTCACTGGCTTCTCAACCCTGAGCTCCCACAAGCAAATTTATTCAGTTCAGGGAAGATTATAGGTATGTGCAGAACACAAGGTGTCAATCTATCTTGTTACAATCATTAACGTAAGTCATAGTTTGTGTACATAGTAATAAGTAACTCCCTGTAGTTAGGAAGCAATGAGAAGTGGTGACCATGACCCATTCTTCTTATTCCCATTGTCTCAATCGTGACTTAGACATCATCAGGTCTAGTTATTGCTAACTTATTTATTTATTCTGCCTTGCCTGTTTTGACCTTTCCAGGGTCCAATTCTCAAGCTTCTGAATACTGACAAAGTGCCATTCCAACCTCTTAACCCTTTCCTGGTATCATAGCTTAGTTCCAGAGTTCCCTACAGCAGTTCAAAGCCAGCTGGGGCAAGAGAGTCCATGAGATTCATCTTTAGTTAACTACCAGAAAACTGGAAATGGTGCTATAGCTCAAAGTGGTAGAGTGCTAGCCTTGAGCAAAAGAACTGACACAGGGAAAGTATTCTTTGCCTGAGGAGGCATTATGACTCACCAGGGCCAATTCACAAACTAGGGGAGGCTCCCTTTCTCCCTTAATTTCCTATTGGTGCAATCATCTCTTGTACATCCAGAGACTTCTAACCTAGGCCCTGCATGGCTTTGAGGCTTGACCCAGAGTCCTCACCTCCTGGGGGACCTGTAGGTATAAGTGGGGGAGATATGGTCTGTATTAGTCACGTAGGGGCCACACGATGCAGACGTGACCCTAGCCTCACTCCCCTGGAATGCCCAATCCCCGGAAGACAAAGCATGATTCATTAGGTAGTGGTAGGCAAAAACATTTATTTAGGGGCAGCAGAAGGGCTGGCCTCAGGGTCCCCTAGGGGTCCGGCTTGGGCCTCAGAGCCCTCCACCAGCTTGTCAGAGAACATGGCCCGGTGCAAGGTAGCCACGTAGCTGCAGCCGCTGAGATCCTCCAGGCGCAGCCGGGCCAGGGGCAGGAAGCGCTCGGTGCTGAAGTAGCGCAGGGAGGGCTGCGGGGCGCGCAGGGCGGTGAGGAACACCTGGGCCGGGGGAAGAGGGGCGCTGGAGGTCATCTGCCTGGACCGTGCGCCCTGCCCTGCACTCTCCCTTCCCACTCGTGTCACCCAGTCACCCACCTCCGACACCTCCTCCGGATCCTGCGCCTCTTGAAAGACACGCATTAAGTGGCGCTGGAAGAGCGAGAAGAGGTGACGGGTCTGGGCATCCGCGCGGTCCAGGGCTCCACCTAGGCCGCCCTCCAGCTTCTCATAGAAGGCTGTGTGTACCGGGCCGCACTCGATGAGGCTTATGCTACGGGTGACAGTGGCAAGTGGGTGGTGGCAGACAAGATCCAGGCCCCATCCCGGGCTCCCCGCTGGGTGGCCCAGCCGCACGCCAAGCGACAGGGCATTTAAGAGAGGCAAAGCGTTTGCCAAGCCTTTGAGGGAGACTCAGGCGGCAGAATGTAAGCCTGGCTGGGTGACTTGGAGCTGTGTAGCCCAGGCCAGTGACCGAGCCGCTCCGGGCAGGGGAGATACATCACAAAATCCATGCCCCCGTAGCTAAGTCGTGAAGTGCACAGTGCCTGGCATGCAACCATTTGAGCTGGGGAAGGAGAGCCAGGGGGGTGCCTGAGAATAGTTCCAAGACCAAGTGCTTGGGATTCCAAGGTCAGGATTCAGAGGGCTCAGGAGGGGGTATGTGTGTGACTCACTGGACCCCGAAGGGCAGCAGCAGAACCGCCAGACTCTCGCATAAACCTTCCAGAGCGAACTTACTGGCGCAGTACACAGCGTGAAAGGGCAGCCCTGGAAGAGGATGGGAGGTTGCGGAGGCCCCGCCCCCAACGAGCAAACCCCGCCCTGGAACGCCCCTCCCGGCACCAAGCCCCGCCCACCCCTGCTTTCCGGACCATTTTCCCACTGCCAAGTCACGCCCACAACCTCTCAGTGCGGCCTGTGGCCACGCCCCCACGCACCGATCAAGCCGCCCATACTTGAGGTCACCAGCACACGTCCGCTGCGGCGCCGCTTCATGTCTGGCAGGAAGGCTTGCAGCAAGCGCACCGTACCGATCACATTCACGTCCAGCACGGTGCCCACGTCGTCCAGCTCGTGTGCCTCCAGCGGCCCGAACAGGCCCCGGCCCGCGTTACACACTGTGGGGAGAAGGACCCCCCCCACACCCACACACCCCGCTAGCCTCATGAACTTGCTTTCGGCCCTGCCCCACCCCCTTCCCCGGGTTGGGACACTGGGCAGGGAAGGTTCTTGCCAAAGGTGTTCGGTGAGCTCACCCAGCACATCCACGCGGCCCTCAGTCACTCGTGCCCGAGCATTGGCTACGGAATCCGAATCCCTCACGTCCAATTCCAGGGTCTGCAGCGAGTCGGGGGGACACGCCCTGGCCCTGGCGGCCTCCAGGAGAGGGCCTTGCGCCTTCAGGTCTCTCAGCGTGGCATACACTAGAGGTGCATGGAGTATGAAGATCTAAACACCCTGTTTCCCTCCGGGAGCTCTTCACTTTTCTCCGGGACTGTCCCCTCACATATACCTTTGAAGCTCCTAGAAGGGTCTGAGGCCAGACGGACAGCCAAGTGCAGGCCGATGCCCGAGGAGCAGCCAGTGATGAGCACCACAGTCCGGTCCATGATGACCAGGCTGGAGTGAGGTTTAAGCGCTCTGGGAACCCTAGGTGAAGGTCCGGAGATATCACCTGCTTTGCCCCGCCCCTGCCTGCAAGGCATCTCCACCCCTTGTTATGTCTGTGTGTCTGCTCCACAATCTCAAGGCTGAGTCCTCGGACCCCTGCCTGGCTCTTGCCTCCCGATTGCAGGTCAAACAGGTCAAAGCTGAGAAAGGACCCTGATTATAACATCAACTGTCCTACTTGCTGGCTAGAGGAGTGTGGTGGGATGGAAGAAGGCAGATTTTGCAAGCACGAGGCCTGGGTTCTCCTATGGGCAATTTCCTGGTTGCTCTGTATTCCCAGGAACAATTAAGAGTTGATAGAAGGGTGCTGGTGGCTCACACTTGTAATTCTAGCTACTCAGGAGGCTGAGATCTGAGGATTGCCATTGTAAGCCAGCCCAGGCAGAAAAGTCCCTAAAACTCTTACCTCCAATTAATCACAGAAAAAGCTGGAAGTGGGGTTACAGCTCAAGTTGTAGAGCACTAGCTTTGAGTATTAGGAAAATGGAGGAGAAAGGAAGGAAACAGGCCAGACTTCATCTTTCACAAGCGAGGACTGTTATATTGAGATATAGCAGTGAGGGGCATAGCCTTCCTACAGGCTTGGAGATTGTGCAAAGAGGTGGGAGAGGAGTTGGGTTTTGATGGGGTCTGAGCAAGAAGGCAGAGGTTAAAGAAAAAGCCATTAGGTCTAGGGAGGTGGCCAGGGAGGGGGGGGCTTTGGGGTTGGGCTCACAACAGAATGTTTACCTCCAGGCTTAGGAGTATTGCCTTGCCTATGTAAAGCAGTATGTGTGAATACCTTTGGTGGTTTGCCTGACATCTGTATGTACCTGGGAAAATAGGATGGGAGTTAATCCCTCATTGAGCAAAAAGAGCCTAGGGACAGTGTCCAGGCCCAGAGTTCAAGCTCTAGGACTGGCAAAAATAAACGTTTTTGGGGCTGGGAAGGTGGCTCAATGGTAGAGCACTTGCCTTGCATGCATGAGGCCCTGGGTTCGATTCCTCAGCACCACATAAGCAAAAAGAAAAAAAGCTGGAAGTGGCACTGTGGCTCAAGTGGCTAGCCTTGAGCTGAAGAGCTGAGGGACAGTGCCCAGGCCCAGAGTTCAGGCCCCACGACCAGACCCCAAAATAAAAAATAATAAAAGTTTTCACTTTCTTGACACACTGTGGAAGTAAATACCTTTTACAAGTTCATAGGTCAGAGGTTAGAATTTACACAGAGAAAGAGGTTAGAATTTACATGAAGAAACTGAGGCAAGGGGTAGAAAGCAATGGGCCCACGCCAGGCCCTGATATATCATAGCAAGGACCTTTTCATTCTGACAGACCTGGGATGCTTATTCTTTTATTAAGTTGATAGAAAACAGTTCTTTAATATCAGATTTCAGGTGGTACTGGAGGACAGTTTATCTCCCTCCAAGCCTGGAGCTTACCTGCCCCACAGGCAGGCCTTTGGCTGTTCCTCTGGGGCCTAGGGATATCCTCTGATCCTTTTCCAGCCTGAGGCTTCCATATCCTGCCCTGCAGGGGTATGGGTAGAATGAGACCATCATAAAAAGCCAGCAAGCCCTCTGGGAGAATATTTGAGGAAGATCTTCCGGACTAGGTCTATAGTGTCGCCTTGGGGCTGGCTAGAATATCTCTTCTTGCTGAGAACAAAGGCCTGCTCCAGTTGGAAGGCTTTCTCTTCAAACTTGCGCTGCTGGAAAGGGATGCCCTGGGCCAGGCTGTCCACCAAGGTCTCTAGGAAAAGGCCCCAGCGAGGCTGGTAGTAATCAGCCACAAGTCCAGACAGCTGCTTGTTTGCATAATCGAGGATGTTGCCCTCTGGCCCCCATAGGGTCAGCTGGTAGCGGCTGTTCTGTTCATAGAAATAGGCCTCTGCCTCACTGCCTGCCATTGTCCGGGCCTGCTCCAGCCAACTGCCCAGCAAGAAGCGGCTATCACTAGCCAGCACCTCATCCAGGGCAGGCAGAAGCTCATAGGCCAGGATACCTCCAGCCCTGAATAGAGGACGGGACTTATGCTTCAGGTAGGCTGTCCTTGCCTCCTCATAATACAAGCTGACCAGTTCCTGGACTGCCTGTCGGGTGACGTCCAGCAGGTCATAGCGGAAGGCTGGGCTGGTGGTCAGGTTGGGAGCGGCTTTCAGAAGTAACCTCCAGGCTTCAAATACATCCGATCGGTTGTACCAGACCATGGTATTTAGCTGGAGGGATGGTCGCCTGACCAGCGGGCTGTGGTTGTGTCCTCTGCAGTCCTCACCAGAGCAGTTGTAGACACTCCTGAGCAGTAGCCTCCAGGCTGCCTCCGCATTGGGCTGGGAGGCCCCGTACCGCCGGGCAGCAAAGCTGGTCACCCAGGCCTCCAAATCCGGCACTGGATCCTTCCGCCAGCCCAGTTCAGCCATGAGGGCATAAACCACTTCATTCTGGCCAATGCCCTCAGGGACTATGCCAGTGCCGACCATGGTTGAGTTGGGGAAGCGGCGAGCAGACTCGGGGCCTCGGTTCACAGCCTCCAGGGCTCCAAACAGGCCATGGTTACCCCCAAAGTTATGCAGCATGCACCAGATGAAGGGCTGGCCATAGAAGGAGGCTGTGTGGAGGTACACAGGCTGGCTTTCTGCAAACAGGTCCAGGACCAGGAGGCGACCTTGGGGCACAGCGTGCAGCACAGCTCTGATTTGGGCAGGTCCCCAAAACTCTGGCTGGTGCTGGAAGAGCCAACCTTGGAGTAACCATACCGCATGAGGGTCCACTGTAGTTGGTGTGGGGGGGGGGGGGGAAGGGGGAAGAGAAGAGAGGTGATGAGTGTGGAGGAAGCCACGGAGGTGCAGGTCAAGTCCATTCTATACATGAGAACACAGGTCCATAGAAGAAACATGACCATCAGAGGACACAGTTCCCCCGCAACGCCCCATCAAGGGGACTACCCATTGTCACCATAGCTTTCCCCATGCTGCCGCCTCCAGCTGTGAGCTCACCCAGCTTCCCAAGCACTTCCTGTTTGCACCTGTCTGTAAGGCTTTGTTACAAATTAAACAAAGACAAGTGCTCACACTTTTTTTAAAAAATCCCTTTTGTGAGCTATGAACGAAAGCTTAATCCAACTATGGTGTTTAGAGGTGAGGGCTTTGGGAGATGATGAGGTCATTTGGGCTGGAGGCCCCATGATTGAATTGTGGTGGCTTTATGAGAAGAGGAAGAGAAAACAGAGAACACACATGCTTGCACTTCCTGTCTCTTGCCCAGTGCTACTTTGAGACTCTGTCAACAAGATCATCACCAGATTCAGCTCTTTGAAACTATAGATCTCTTTTCTGTACAAAGTAGCCCAGCCTCCATGTTGTAGCATGGCAAATGGACTTATACACACAGACTTAGAGGGGTGCTCAAGCCACTGGTTCTGGATCACACATGGAGAGCACTGCTCAAGGAAGCCTGAGCCAATCTGCTCCCTTCTTGGCTGGCCCAAAGCCTTCTCCATCACTTGAGCCTTGGGTTCGCATTCTGCAGTATGATGAATACCTTAATTGGCTTTGGACCCAGATATTAACCTCTGGCCTACAAAAGTCTGTTTCATCAATGAGCTAGAGATCAAATCAAATCTTTTCAGTAGCTAGCTCTATAATGATGTTTTAAAGGACCAGGCATCATACTTCCTGTGTGGCAACCCATTGTCTGGATGAAGCCACTGGAACACCAGGAGGGTGCTCATTTGTCAGAAGCCAAACAGCCAGGAGCTGTTAGTACTGAGATCTTACTCCACAATTCACCTCTCACACCTGTAAGAGGCAACTTAAAAGATGCTTTTGTTGGGCCCTGTGAATTAACTCAAAGCCCCTCAACTTTGAATCTGTATTCTTTGTATCTGAACTATTCTCTCCTGGAGCCTCTTTGCAATCACCTGTTTGCACGAGGAAAGAGAAAATTCAATCACAAGCATTTGGTGTGGGAGCAAGTTGCTCTACGACCAGGCAATGCCTTCCTCTTATCATCTTAAAGAAAACAGCCTCCAAATTCAGGAGCCCACCTTGTTTCTGTTCTGTTCCAGTAACAAAGTGACAATATATCAGCAACTCCAAGGACAAAGACTGAGCTGGTGGTGAGCAAGGCCACACCTGGGATTTGGGACTGTTGTTATCAGACTGTGGTTATGCAGAACCTTTCTCCCACCCTTTGCCCTCAATACTCCCTATTTAACTTGAAGCCAGTGTCTTTACTCTCAGAAGATGGCTACAGATGCACTGAAGTGCTGGCAGTCCCTAGCTGTCACGTAATATATGTCCCTTCTCTACCTTCCCTGTGACTCTTGATTTGGTAGACAGGAACAAGTCGCAGGACCTAACTTGGGTCTCCTGGATTCTGGGTCTGGGGTCAAACAATCGGGTTTCAACCTCAGCGCAGTTAAGAGATAGTTTGTATGCACAAGCTGGGGAAGCTTCCAAGTGCTGTGTGTTACAGGGAGGAGTGATTTCCAGTCCTCCTCCCCCTCCCGCCAACTTCTCCCTTCCCCCCCTTCCCCAGGCCCCGTACCCTTGGTCATGGCCTCATAGACAGCAGCAGTGGCTGCAGCGAGGTAGGAGGGCTCCGAGGAGGGAGGCTGCATCTCATTGAAAGTGTCAGCCCCATAGATGTGGTCTGTGCCGAACTCCTTGGTCAGCTCCCGTAGAAAGAGGCTTCCAATGACGGAGAATATGGGGTCTTCAGGAGCCAGAAGGAGAGAGCAAGAATAGGAGCAGTTGAAGTGTCCCCAACTGCCCAACTGGGTGACATTGGCGTGTGGAAATACCCTAGTGGGAAGAAAAGCTCAGAGAGGTGCCTGGAGGCTGACAGTGTTCCCATCACTCCTCACCAGCTGCATCACCATCTCTCAATCCAGAGTGTGTCTTGGCTTCTCATGCCCCTGTGCCTTTGCACATGCTGAGCGCGCTGTGTCCTTTCCTCTGCCTCTGTTACCTGCTCTTCACTATCATTTAAGTATTTCCT